ACCCCCCCCCCCCCCCCCCCCCTCCTCTCAGGTGATCATGCGCGCGGCCAAGGTACAGGGTGCCACCGACCAATCAAACGGCGGGCAGTCGAAGATCGACAGCCGAGGGGGAACGCTGATGCTGTCCGGCGACGACATCGTGTCGATCGCTGTCAAGCGGTTCCCCATGCAGCACTCGGCGCAGAGGCCGAAGGGGCTGGGGACGGACTCGGACATCGGGGGCAGGGCGGGCGGGGGGAGTCAGCTGGGGGTGGAGAGGAAGCTCCAAGCGGTGAGCTCGACAGCGGTGTGGCACTATCAAGGCAGTACCGTTTGTGCTCGTTGGGCGTTATGTTAGGCCTCAACGAATCTACTGGGAGTCGAGGAGAGACGGTCTAACCCACGGGGGTCATTATGATTTGTGGCAACCCAGGCTGAAATCAACATTCCGGGGCCGCCTTGGTGAGCCATAGCTACCTACGGCCTGTGGGTTGTCCCACCGGGCCACAGGTGCCGTGCACCTCCTCCACGCATTGCCACTCACAGCAGTGATCTCTCTCTCTCTCTCTCTCTGTCCATCTCTCTCTGTCTCCCGGCCGCCCGGCCGCCCCCCCCACCCCCCTCTCTGGTCCGCGACTGACAGCAGCAGCAACAGATGTCCTTATCGACGACCTCGCATCTACCTTCGTTTGTGGAGTACTTGTCGCCCCCGTCTCTCACGACGCACCTATCCACGCCGCTAACCACTAACGCTTGCTTCTCGCCACCCCTCCCGCCGCCGCGCGCGCCCACCGGATCCTCTCTCGGGAACGAAAAAGGTGGACACCTCGTGGGTAGAAAGCTCTAGCAACATGTCCATCCCGCAGTCTGGAGGAGGCGGTGCCGGGAAGTGGGACCAGTTCGCCGCAAACGAAAAGTGCGGTGAAGTTTCGGCGATGTGTGGGCTTGCTATCTATTTAGGTGGTGTGCGGAGTTGCTGATGGCAGTCACATTGAAGTATGTTTTACTACGCAAGTTGTTGCTGTTCACATTTGTTTTTGCGGTCCCGTTGCAGTACTTGCTGCCACTTTTCGTATACGAAACGGGGTGAGAGGTTGCGAGTTTCGCTGGTTGAGGCCGTGCGGGCACCGCGGACGGAAACATGACCACCAAACTGCTGTAACACCACACAGTATTTTCCGCAGTCCACACAGTATTTTCGCAGTTCGTTTTTTTGGGGTGGTAATGCTGCACCTGATGGGTACCTCGCCGTCTTACGCCATCAAATCAATGTGCTGCATGCGGTTACCCTGATGCTACTTCCCCCCCCCCCCCCGGCATCGAAAAAGGTGTACTGTTTTTCTAGACAGGGATAGTTTTGGTCATGGGGCTAGATGAAGTGGGGCTAGATTGTCTGGCCAAGAGCGGCGACGTGCTCGCAAATACCCCGGCCCTGATGGACCGAACCCATTGCGCCGCCCTTCGTGCAGGCTTTTCAACGTGACGAGCACCTTCGACGAGAACCTGTACACCACGCCGCTTGACACCGGGTCGCTGTCGAGGGCGCAGATGGCGCACGCCGAGCGGATGGCCGCCGAGATAGAGGGCAAGACCAGCGGCAATATTCACATGCGAGAAGAGCGCAACATGGTGAGGGAAGGAGGGAACGGCACGAACGGTGCAGGCAGGGGGGGCAGGAGAACCAAAACATCCTTTGTGTGTGTGTGTGTGTTTTTTTTTTGTGTTTGGGTGTCTGTTTTGGACGGGTGATGCGGTTTCCAATGGTGGGAACGAAGTCGCAGGGTACACAGCAGCAGTAGCATGCATAAGTGCATGAGGGGATCCGGACATGTGTAGCACTTTTTTACCAAGTGTGTTGGACGTAGTGACTTCAGCCTCTACAGCAGTATTTCTACCGTCTTTCACGTGGAACGAAGGGAAGTAACAGCATACCAGCAAGTCATCCTCTTGTTGTTACTGCGGTCCGCCCGTACTACAGTAGTACCGCCTGCTCGAAACGAGAACCCCGAATTGTTGATTGCCAATCTCTGTTGCAGGAAAAGTCACCTTCGCTGACCACTGAGAATGTCGAGCGGAAAGCCACGACACCCCCTTCCTCTCGAACACCACCAGCACAACAGCATGTCTCATAACCCCCCCAATCGATCATCTCCTACACCGTTCTACCCCCCCCGTCCCCCCCAAATCAAATCAAAACAGCTGACGGAGCAAGACAAGGCCATGGGAGAGGAGGAGCGGTTCAGCGGCGTCCTCGGCACCGGGGGCATGGCGTCCCACCAACGCCGATCCACCGGAAACAACAATAGCAGCAACAACAACGGTAGCCACCACCGCCACAGCCACGGGCACCACAACAGCCACGGCGGGGGTGGCCGAGATCCCGGGCCTTCCGCCCCCCGCTACACCCCCGCTCGCGGGCGGGTCTCCCCTCAGTCCGGCCCTGGGGGCCCCG